GTTTTTGATCTGAGTTTGCTTTACAGAATGAAATGTCAGAGTGAGTGCTCATCCAAGACTGGTGATTCCAAACTTTTTGCCAGGGGTTGTATGAGTCTGTCGTTGAGAGCGTCATCTCTTCTGCCATCATCTGTTGGGGCAGCAGCTTCAGAGCCAGGGACCTAAAAAGACTAAACAACCTGATAAAGAAGGCTGGTTCTGTTCTGGGGACGACTGTGGAATCTCTGGAGATGATGGTGCAAAGAAGGATTTTACATAAAATCAAGAACATTGTGGACAACCCTGACCATCCTCTTCATCAGACTGTCATAGAAAGACAAAGTGTCTTCAGCCGGAGGCTTCTTCAACTTCACTGTAATACAGACCGCTACAGAAGATCTTTCCTGCCCACAGCCATCAGCATCTACAGTACAATAAGTTTTTAGTTAAATGAGTTACAACAACACCTAATTTCCCTCTGGGATCAATAAAGTATTTTTGAATTGAATTGAATTGAATTGAATTGAATTGAATTGAATTGAATTGAATTGAATTGAATTGAATTGAATTGAATTGAATTGACTTGAACTGAATTGAATTGTTGCTACCCGCTAAAATAAACACAAGTGAAAGGGGTCTGCTGTAGTAAACAACACATTATTTATTCCTAAGCTTGCAGGAGGACCTAAAGTGTGACATTAAATCACATATCTATATTTAGTATATTGACATATCAATCTTATACAGCTTGAGTTCTTGTTGGCCAGTGGTACACATATCCTTTGAAGAGGAGCTGGAAAATTTAAAACTGTTGGCACAACGCCATCTTTTAGCTGGACAGTCTGCCACATCCTGTCAAAGTCCGGCAGAGCAGTGTCCTGTCAGAGGCAACAAAACCCTCCCTTCTTGGTGCAACACCCCCACTGCTTCCTCCTCTCTTTGGTTTTGAGAAAGCTTAAAAACAAGAAGAACTTAGTTACTATTTTCCACCCGTCTTTTCTTTAGCATTAAGGGTAAGGACAAAATATTCACCTTAATTATCATACTTTTATGTGCATGTATTTACTTTTGGCGCACTAAAAGAGTTACAAAAATGATGTTCAAAAGAAACATTGAATCATAAATTATTGCAAGATATTGTAAAAAGCTTTGGGTGAGTAATATTATCCTACATAGCCTCACAGGTCATGTGTAGCATGACCTGTGTACTGTGCATAGATCACAGTATGCTGCATATAACTCATTGTTGTAATTACAGTAATAATACTGTCACAGAGCTCACAGGTGAAAGGTGATCCCACAGGTTCTTGTTTTGATGCTACAGCTGTTAGAGCATCTGTGGGCTGCACAAAGCATCAGACAAGTTGTGGAGGTTTACTTCTGTAAACACAAAGCAGCAATTAGTTTTTGACAAACCAACCTGCTGGAAAATCACACGCAACTTCAGTTAAGTTAAAAACCAAGAGCTCCCAATGGTGTAAGATTGATTGATTGATTGATTGATTGATTGATTGATTGATTGATTGATTGATTGATTGATTGATTGATTGATTGATTGA